TCATTCTTAAATTGGATTTCGCAAAGGCATATGACAAGGTTAACTAAAACTTTTTATTTGAATACATGGAGATGAGGGGTTTTGATAAGAAATGGATAAATTGGATTACTAAAGTGGTAACTGGAGGGACTGTGAGTGTAAAGGTGAATGATAAAATTGGATCATATATCAAGAGCTATATGGGGGTGAGACAGGGAGACCCTCTCTCCCCCATTCTCTTTAATTTTGCTGCTGATTGCTTAACTAAAATGGTTGAAAATGCCTAATACCAAGGACTGTTCTCTGGACTTATTGAACACATCATCCTAAATGGAGTGGCCATCCTACAATATGCAGATGACACTATCATTTTCCTTAAACATGATTTAGAGGGTGCAAGAAACATGAAAATGTTATTATACATGTATGAAGTAATGGTTGGGTTGAAGATCAACTTTAACAAGAGTGAAGTGGTGATGATTAATGATGATAATAACTGGGGAACTATCTATGCTGATATTTTTAACTACCAAATTGTTTTTTCCCCATCAAGTATCTGGGGGTGCCAGTCAGCCCAAGTAGGCTGCACCTGAGTGACTGGACTCCCTTGATTGATAAATGTGGAAAGAGATTGGATGTGTGGAAGGGTAGTACCATGTCCATTGCAGGGAGGACTACCCTCATATGTGCTTGTCTAAATAATGCCCCCATTTATCAAATGTTTGTGTACATGACTCCAAAAACTATTTTGAATAAGATGGACAAAATCAGAAGAACCTTCTTTTGGCAATGTGGAGGTACTAAAAGGAAGTATCACCTTGTGAAATGGATAAAGATAGGTAAAAGTAAAAAGAAAGGTGGATCGGGGATTAAAGACTTAAGGAAAATAAACCCGAGTCTTCTCTCCAAATGGTGGTGGAAACTAGAACATGAAGATGGTTTATGGCAGGACATAGTTGGAGCTAAATATTTTTAGAATAAAAATATCTTTTCTGTGACTTATAAATTTTAATGATTCTCCTATCTGGACTGATCTTCTCAAAGTCAAATATCTGCTTGGTAGAGCCATTGGGATTAAGAATGGGCTTAAAACTAGGTTTTGGTCAGATCCCTGGTTATATGATGAACCCATCTCCAAAATTACACCTGTTTTGTTCACTTTGAGTGAGCAGAAAGAAATTTGTGTAGCTGATGTAAAAAGTGGAGGGACTAGCATGACTTTCAGAAGATGGTTACCTCCAGAACTACAAAGTTGCTGGGATATGATTTTAAGTGATGTGCAAAGTTTTGAGTTGCAAGATAGTAATGATGTCATTCTTTGGAAGCTTGAGAAAAGTAGAAAATTCTCTGTGAAATCTTTGTATAATGCTTTAACTAGAAGTGATGCTGGGCTTTCACATAGGAAAATCTGGAAAGGCAAAGCTCCCCAGAAAGTTAAGATTTTTATGTGGCTTATGATCAACAATGCTGTGTTAACCAAGGATAACCTCATTAAAAGAAAATGGTCTGGTAGCCCACTTTGTCCTTTCTGTGAGTAAAATGAATCAGTGGAGCATCTTTTCTTTACTTGCCCTATTACAAAGGTGATTTGGGCTGTCATTGCTAAAGTACTTGGTGCTAATAACATTCCTACATCCTTATCCCAATGCTGGGATTGGTGTGATTATTGGCTTCTTGATGGAAAGAAATTTCACACCTGGGGGGTGTCTGCTATATGTTGGGCCATTTGGAAAGCTCGGAATAGAGCATGCTTCGATGGGAAACTGATCACAGACCCAATAGAAATCCTTTGTCATGCAGGGGTGCTAATGAGTTTTTGGGCGGGTTTATATGATGAAGTGAATCGGGAGATGCTGATCAATGGAGTCAACACCATGCTGCAGGTGGCAGCGAAGCTTCTTGTGCCAAAGAACTCAACTGATGGTCAAAAACGCCTAAAGCTCTGTGATGATGATGAAGATGGCTCCAAATGATGGGACGAAAAAGACGTCGAGCGTGAAGATGCTAATGCCTCCGTCTGTTATGTTTTTTAAATGCTGATCGACCATGTGTGGTCTGATGTGTAAACCTGGATAGTTGTCGGTGTCTGTTTACAGATGCTTTTGGTTTTGTTTTTCTTCTGTTTCCTCTGCTGGCTCTCTCAGAGGTCTAGTTCAGTTAGAGAGGTAGGAACGTCTGTGTATGTCTGTTCTCTCTATCTTAAAACTTGCTTGTATTTTCGTTTTTCATGAAATGGAAATGGAGGGTGACCTTCGCGTGGAAAAAAATGAAACCAACACCATAGATTGAATCTCGGTGGTAATAGAGGGGGAAGTAGATTTTGACACGGGTCATGGCAAGTGTTTTTGAAAGATTCATTGGCACAAGGCGGGGGCACATGCCCCCCACCCCCTACCTTTGCCACCCCAACACTCACAAAAGTTAAGATATTTTGAATTTGTTTGTGGTGCACAATCTGTCATTGTGTGTTATTCTTTTTAATACAATGCTCCACCTTGCATGCTTTGTGATAATGACCACAAATCATTTTATCACCCATACTTAAAAATATATTGTATAGCATCGAATTTGGAGAGAAGTCAGTCTGTGATCACGAGGGCTGTCATTCCTGTCAATATGTACAAGAGTTGTGTACACGGTAGTAGCCGAGTTGTTTTCTTTCTTTTATTCATGGAATTTCGGAAGGACAATATGATAGTCCATGTTTATCCCAGACATGGGTAATATATATATATATATATCCATTATGCCTCATTGCCTAAGAGCGTAGTTATTTTTAAGATAATATAATAAGTTTCAGCTTTAAACAGTGGTGGACCCAGGCGCTCGACAACCGTATGCACTCGACCAGGCTCCGACGCCGGCTCACAATAGAAGATGCGCAACCTCATTTGCTACCTTAAGTTTCGCCGAGGCTCTATTTGGAGTGATGAGTTTGGTACTAGCTTCAAACATAATTTTTCGAAAATATATCATACAGGAGTTATTAGAAAGTAGTTCACGGTACTAGGTGAGGCAAATGTCTCAAGTTACATAGTCAAGGTACCACATAATGCACAAACGCATCACTGACAGACACCTGAAGAATTAGTACAACTAAAAAGAAAACAAGAACAGAGACTCTCCAATTTGCAAAGTAGTCATCTTTGCGCCACGTGTCCCTTTCAGATAATTAACAGAAGCTCTAGCAGCTTGCCCTAAAAAAGTAGAAATGATATCTCAAGTTATATTTTTGTTAGAGTTAAATGCATGGGTGATCCATCAACTTGCGCTCTAGTTTTACTTAGATCTATCAATTCTGAAAGTGGGTTTTTGGGTCCATAATCTTTATCAATGACGCATTCCTAGCACATATCCTATTTGTTTCAATTTTTTAACCCACGTGGCATCTCCGGGTCCAGGTGGCACACGCATGCAGGTGCATGCACATGCACGTCGGCGTCTTGGCGAACAGCCAGCAGCAGCAGCCGGCGCAGCGGCAGCCCAGTCCGGCAGCCCACGCTGGCACGTCGGCGTCTTGGCGAACGGCCAGCACAGCAGCAGCCGGCATGCGCGCCCACGCGGCACGAACGGCGAGACGCGCACGCCCGCGGAGCGCAGGTCCACGGCGGCGGCGCTTGCGTGATCGGCGTGGCCCTGCGGGAAGTAGTAGATGGCGGCGCCGACGGGCGGCACGGCGCACAGGGAGCCCGCGCACGCCTGACACAGCGCCGCGCCCCTCGGGCTTGGCACGGCCAGCGGCGGCCTCCGGCGATGGGGCCGGCGGGGGCATCTGCGCCGCGAACGTGAGCGTCGTCGTCCCGAGCCGCATGGGCGCGCAGGCTGCAGCAACAGACATGACTGGGTCATTGGCAGGGCGCAGGGCTTCTATGTCGCCAGCTCGCAGGACGGCACCAGCAAGACCATCGTGCTCACCGCCATGTTCGAGGGCCCCGAGGCACCGCATGGGTGGCGGCGACACGCTCAGCTTCTTCGGGGTCCACCGCATGGCCGCGCCGGAGTCCCACATCGCCATCATCGGAGGCACCGGCAAGTACGAGCACGCCAAGGGCTTCGCCGCCATCCAGACGCTGCACCCTGGCGACGAGCACACCATCGACGGCAGCGAGTGCTGGTGCCGCAGCGACGGGCAACGCAGGAGCCGCTGGCGCGGGCGTGGCGCGACCACCTGCTGACGTTCTTCATGCACGACATCCTCGGCGGCTCGCAGCCGTCGGGGCGCATCGTGACCGGCGTGGTGGCGAGCGCGGCGGCCAACAGGCAGCTCCCGTTCGCGCCCCAACACCAACATCTTCCCGATCCAGGGCGCGATGCCGCTGCCGCAGGGCGCCAGCAACCTCATCAACAGCAACAACGTGCCCTACGTCGCGGGCCTCGGCGGCACGTCCTCCGCCGTCGTCCAGAACAACGGCAACCCCGTCAACGGCGGCAACAAGAACATCCCCTTCGTCAACGCCGCTTATGGTCTCGGACTTCCAGAAGCGCATCATGGATGAGAATTGAGGAGCACAAACTACGAGTCTCAGCATACTGTATCATACTGACAGAGCTCTTTTTGGTGCCTTGAAGCCCTTGACAGAGCTCAGATGAAGGACTAATTGCCAAAAGTTTCTTCCTCCAGGGCGAGTTATTTTTTGTGACAGGACATCTGTTCTTTGGTTACGGTTTCTTCGATACATAAAGTTCTCCATAGAATTACATGGTAGCCTTTCAGCGAACAGTGAGAGGTCTACATGTCCCTCTTCCTAATGTTGTTCTTGAAACCCATCCAGCTCCATTTTACGTAGGATGATGTCATATTCTCATGCCATTTCTTTTAGGAGTAGCCATCTCAGAATAGCAGAAAACATCCTTGATTTACTCGTACAATCTCACAATATGCTGATGCGATCATAGCACCTATTAGTACATTACATACATGGCCGAAAGCTGGCACAGTACTTGCAATCACAAACATTGCACGAAACTGCTGGAAGGACAAGAACTGGTAATTGTCGATCTAATGGTAATGGAGCGGCTTATTAAATGAGGTGAACGTTGAACTGGAGTAGAGTCTCGACGCCGTCGGTGGTGTGCTCGTCGCCAGGGTGCAGCGTCTGGATGGCGGAGAAGCCCTTGGCGTGCTCGTACTTGCCGGTGCCTCCGATGATGGCGATGTGGGACTCCGGCGCGGCCATGCGGTGGACCCCGAAGAAGCTGAGCGTGTCGCCGCCATGCGGTGCCTCGGGGCCCTCGAACATGGCGGTGAGCACGATGGTCTTGCTGGTGCCGTCCTGCGAGCTGGCGACGTAGAAGCCCTGCGCCCTGCCGATGACCCAGTCATGTCTGTTGCTGCAGCCTGCGCGCCCACGCGGCTCGGGACGACGACGCTCACGTTCGCGGCGCAGATGCCCCCGCCGGCCCCATAGCCGGAGGCCGCCGCTGGCCGTGCCAAGCCCGAGGGGCGCGGCGCTGTGTCAGGCGTGCGCGGGCTCCCTGTGCGCCGTGCCGCCCGTCGGCGCCGCCGTCTACTACTTCCCGCACGGCCACGCCGATCACGCATGCGCCGCTGCCGTGGACCTGCGCGCCGCGGGCGTGCGTGTCTCGCCGTTCGTGCTGTGCCGCGTGGGCGCGCATGCCGGCTGATGCACCTGCATGGGTGTGCCACCGGGATCCGGAGGTGCCACATGGGCTAGGAATACGCCACTAATAAAAATTATGGACCCAAAAACCTGCTTTTAGAGTTGATAGACCTAAATGAACTAGAGTGTAAGTTGATGGGCCACCCATATATTTAACTCTTTTTGTTATTTTATTTTTTTCAACGCTACGATGACCTATAAAATGTACAATTGTTTACCCCAACCCAATACCAAGCTGATGTTCACGTGCAATCATGACTCTGTACAAAGTCAGCAGCTGCATGCGTGATCATCTCGATCGCCAATCAAACTGTAGAAGAGATCACGTGCACCAGTAGAGACCTTTTATCCGATGTTAAAATGGGCTTTAGTTCCGACATTTTTTGCGCCCGGGACTAGAGAGACTTTTAGTCCCGGTTGGTGTCTCCAACCGAGACTAAAGGTCCCTGCCCAACGGCTACTGCGCTCGGCACAGTGGCAGAGGACCTTTAGTTCCGGTTGGAGACACTAACCGGGACTAAAGGTGGACCTTTACTCCCGGTTGGAGCCACCAACCGGAACTAAAAGTCCTCAACCTTTAGTCCCGGTTGGTAACACCAACCGGGACTAAAAGTAGACCCTTTACTCCCGGTTGTTAACACCAACCCGGACTAAAGGACCCTTTAGTCCCTGTTGATAACACCAACCGGGACTAAAGGTCCCCCGATGGGTTAGTCCAAAAGGAAAGCATCCCATCCATTGTTAGATATGTTGTGTAGGTGGGGTGGTAAGCTACGCGCGAGGCAATGCATGGGGTCTTGGGTTCGAATCTCACGGGACGCAGTGGTGGGGAGGCATTATTTTTTTTAAAGCTGGGAGAACCTTTAGTTCCGGTTGATGTTACCCACCGGGACTAAAAGACCCCCTTTAGTCCCGGATGCTTACTCTGTCCCGGATGCTTACTCTCGGGTGGAGAACCGGGACTAGAGGGGTTCCCCACCGAAAGTAAAGCTCTGTTCTCTATCAGTGGTGCAAATAAATAAATGAACATAAACTTATGCACACGAACATTTCCCAGGAGCTCGCACCCGCGCGCGTGGGGAGGGACATCACAATATCACATCATCTCCCCTCGGCGTCGCGCTGCAGGAACCTGTGCACCTCGTCGGCCGGGACGTCGCGCCACACCCTGGGCCGCGCGGCGCCGTGGCCAAGCTTGGCGAAGCCGTGCGCCAGCGGGTTGCCCTGCCGCCGGACGTGCGAGACGCTCATGTCGTCGAGCAGCGGCAGCAGCGCCTGGATCTCCCCGCACAGGCGGAGGTCCTCTTGTGCTCTTACCCGCGCGCGGCTCCGCACGACGTCGACCACGGTCTTGGCGTCGCCCTCGACCCAGACGCTGCGCCAGCCGTTGGCCACCGCGACCTCCAACCCGCGCCGGAGCGCCGCGAGCTCCGCCACGGAGCTGGTCGCGGTGCCGATCCGCTCCGCGTAGCCCAGCACGAACCCGCCCTCGTGGTCGCGGTACACGCCGCTGATGCTCGCGCGCCGGGACGCGCCGTGCTTCGATGACCCGTCGAAGTTGAGCTTCAGACGCCCGGGCTCCGGCTTCCTCCACGTGCTCGCTGATGGCTCCAGCGACGACGACCCATTGTTATCCCCCTGGCGGCGCCCGCCCGACGCCGCCCTGCTGCCGACGAGGTAGGCCGAGAAAGGGTGGCACAGCAGCATGCTGCCGATGCCAAGAGGTCGGTGCACCCGCATCATCGTTCCGGCCCCGGCGGCAAAAATGTTGACGTGTATTTAGCGCCGCCCGTGCACGCACGTTTCTTGAAACGATCGCTCACCGGAGGACGATTGAGGCGACCAACTGCTTGGCCGGACAATGGCGAGGCGTGCAGAACAGATCGAGGATGATGAGATGGTACGGAACCGAGAGCGCTGAAGAGGGTTGTTTGAAATAGCTCGGGACCTGGAGGCTGGAGGTGAGCATATGCCGTTGTCGAAATTCTGCGCTGTCCTGCTTGCTTGCTGGGGGAGGTACGTATATGTGTTTGCTTTGCATGGTTTCCCAGAATCGCCAACGCGGGAAGCAACCGTATTACTCCCGGGATTGAGAGGAGAGCGCTTGACAGGCAGATTACGCAGCGAGCATGCTTTGTTTCTATCTCAGGGGGAAGGGAGTTGCGTTTCTATTCTTGGGGCCTGGACGGAGCGCAGACAACTCGTTCCATATGGACATGGCCAATTGTCAGGCTCTGCGGAAGTCAAAGTAGCCGATCTGAATGAAAGATGCGTACGAAGAAGCCAGTTTGACAGGATCAGCAACTCCAGGGAGAAATGGGCCAGAGGATCACCTTTAGCCCATTTTAGTCCGTGGTCTGAACTCAGTTTTTGGGGTTGTATCAAAACTTTGGCCGGCCCAACCATCTTCATCGTTGCTGGCAGCAGCAAATAGTCGGCTAAAAAAAGCAGCAAATAGTCGGATCCGGCGGCGCTCTACACGCAGTTCCCCTGACCCCTCGGTTGGGCACCGCCTCTCACCTGCTTCTCTTTCCTCGACGCCGGATCTCGGGTGCTTGCGCCGCCGGCCACCGTCCATCGGCCTTTTCCCCCGCCACTAACTTCGGGCGACGGAGGGTTGGAAAGATGCCTAACCGAATACGTAAGAAAAAAGCTCGCAAAAGTAGAAAAAAGACAAGTGAGTTACTGATTCACCTTTGCCAGTTGTACCTCTTTTGCATGTATTTATGCAGTTATATTATAACAGTAATAATTTTGTTGTGCAATGCTCCTTGACTAGGAAAGCTGTGGTTGTACAATGATTTTGAAGAGGAGTTTGGTAGCTTAAGTCATTCTAGTCAAGGCACATTGAGTAGACTCAGTAAAGAAGTTGTTTCAAATTTATCTGCAACTGTTGTCTCACTGGCTTCATTCAATGGAGATCGGATTCATGCTGTATGCACAGGCATAGTTGTAAAAAACGAAGAATGTGGTACGAGTGTCCTAACTTCAGCAACTCTGGTTAGATCTTTGGATATTGCTAATGGGTGCAAGATTTTTCCGGGCTTAATGATTGAAGTGAGCCTTCCAAATAACCGAAGTGCTAGGGGTTGGTTGGTGCACTGTGACTTGAATTACAATGTTGCTGTTGTCAACATCAGCTATTACCCTGGTTTTCGAGCTGCACATTTCGATCACGACGGCATGCAGTTTGGGTCCGGTGATAGTAAGGTAGTAGCTTTAGGGCGTTGCTTCAAAACAGGCAAATTGAAGGCCTTGTATGGGATAGTGACTGATGATCCCTGTCGAGTTTTACGCAAACACCTTTATGATCTCCACGTGTAGAATCGATATGGTAATGAATGGAGGGCCCCTTGTTGATTTGGATGGCAACTTTGTTGGCATGAACTTTTATTCTAAGAGGAGATGACTCCATTCCTACCAATGGACAAAATTTACATCTGCTTGGTACATGCTGGGATACTCTGGGTTGAAATCAATCATGGAGGTGATAGCACAATTGAAAGAAGCCGTGAGATACGGGAATGTCTTATGCTCAATGTAGAAGGTTTCTCATGTGGTGAGAGGGACAAGAATCAGGAGCTTTCCATATCTTCTACAAGTTATTCAGAAGATTTTGAGGAAGAGGAACTCTGGCGCTTCCTTGATGATCGCTTCCATGGACGACGGAAATGGCCGCAAGAAAACAATCGCCTTGACATCAACTGCGTTAGTTCTGGCCGTGTCTGGCATACAAATTTATCGCAACAATTTCTTACTCTTTCCACAGTGCAAATCACCTTTCAGTTTTTAGTCAATAGCTGCTGCTCCATGGAGATGCAGCTGGCGATGGAGGAATCGAGGGACCACCCTTTCTTGCCGGTGCAGTGGGAGAGCACGGGCGACACCGATCGACTGGGCGGCGGCCAGCGGCCACTACGACCACGTCCGGGAGCTCCTCCGCCTCGACCCCAACCTCCTCGTCAAGCTCACCTCCCTCCGCCTCATCCGCTGCCTCGAGTCCGGCTGGGACGACGACGCACGCCTAACCGTGCTGCCATCGCCGCCGCCACCTGCTCGACCGAGCCATATAAGCCCCTTCCCCGCCTCCAGATCGACTGCGACGCCAACCGCGTGCCTCCGCTGGGCCAGCTACGGCGGGTGGCTCCTCTACACGTCGGCCGCGACCGGCAACGAAAGGTTCGTGAGGGAGCTCAGTGTCGCCCAGGCGGTCGCGGGAAATCCTCCCTGTGGCGCGCGAAGGAGGAAGACGGGCGACGCACCAAGTGCCAAAAGACCGGGAAAAAGGATCGGGAATTATTGGAGATGATTTTTTTTAATCTTGCCAAAATTCCTAGATTAGAAGGCTGTTTTGGGAAATCTTGGAGATGCTCTTAGCTTTACCGTTTCAAAAATGAAAAGTTACAGAGTTGTCTTGATTTGCTGGTTTTAAGTCCAGATAATGTTTGTTAATTTGGAATTGGGTTGAAAGTCTCCACTGTTAACCATTAATAACTGTGTGAGGTATAGATAGTAGATTGCATAACTCTCATGATCAGTGGCGGAGGCAGGAACAATTTTGAGGTGTGGTGGAAACATGTATATAGATTAAATAACACGAAAAGATAGACTAGCTGGGCCATCGTTGCACAATCAGGAGCAGCGTCGCAGCCGCCGTCTATGATCGCGCTACGGTCGCTGTATAGCGCTAGGGTTCTATCGTTCTGGAGTTGTGATCGGATCCTAGAATACGAATAGACGGAGGCTTGAAGCAGTCGATCGATCAGGGCCATCTGATAGATAGAGAGGAAAAAAAAAAACAAGATATATTCTGCTGCTCACAGTCGTCGGACAGATTAGCCTCCCTGGGTCCCTCCGTTCGGTTTGCTAACTACAGCCCATCAAGATGAAACCCACTAGTCCAGCCACCGGACCCAACAGATGACCAGCATGCATCGACGTATACGTACGTATGCCATGTTTATTCAGTATTTTGTACGTATTTTTAGGTATGGCGGCTGCCAAGCCTTGCCAGATGCCTGGCTAGTCGTGATGGAACAACAATGTCAGAATCCTGTTGTATACTCCTGTTGTTTGAGAATCTTTCCACAAACAAATAAAAATACCAAACCATCCAGCAATAGCGGAATCCTGAATAATGGAATAGTGTCCCGTCAAAGTCTCCACTGTTTACCATTAATGGTATAGACTAACCGGCCAATCGGCCATCCAATCAACCGTCCGGCGTGACCCGTGAACCATTCCTTAGTTCATCACACTATATATCACAGTGCTCCCCGCCATCATTATTCATTAGCCTCGCCAATGGCTTCTTCAGCCGGGCAACTGCTTCTAATGTCAGTGGCCATCCTCGGCAGCGCAGGGTGCTTCGCATCGGACACCATCACCCCCAACTCCGCCGTCTCCGGCAGCAGGACCGTCGTGTCGACGGGCGGCAACTTTGAGCTCGGCTTCTTCCGTCCAGCAGGTGACAGCAACACAGCTTCCTCCTCTGATGGCAGCAACCACTACTACGTAGGAATCTGGTACAAGAAAGCCGTATCGCCGTGCACGCCCGTGCGGGTCGCGAACAGAGCCGCGCCGGTCTCCGACCCCGCGTCCTCTCAGCTCGCCGTTGCGGCGGACGGCAATCTCGTGCTCACGAACGAGGTCGGCGAGCTCGTCTGGTCCTCGAACGTCGTCATCTCCAGCAGCAGCTCCAACGGCACCGTGGCTCTCCTCTTGGACAGCGGAAACCTCGTCCTCCGGCGCGACGACGGCGAGGTCCTGTGGCAGAGCGCTGAGCACCCCACCGACACGTGGCTCCCGGGAGTCCGTCTCGGCATGAACAAGATCACCGGCCACGTGCAGGCTCTGACTTGCTGGAGGAGCTCCAGTGACCCGGCTCCCGGCGTGTACTCGCTGGGGATCGACCCGAACGGGACCAGTCAGTTCTTCACGTACTGGAACACAACCGTGAGTTTCTGGAGCAGCGGAGAGTGGAACGGCAACATCTTTGCCGGTGTCCCGGAGATGACGTCGCACTACTTTTACAACTTCGAGTTCGTGTCCAACGCCAACGCCAGCTACTTCGACTACTCTCTGCAAGACCCCACGGTCATCTCCAGGTTCGTCTTGGACGTCTCCGGCCAGGTGAGACAGCTCATCTGGGTGCCGTCGGCCGACGAGTGGATGATCATCTGGGCGGAGCCACACCAGCTCTGCGACGTCTACGCTGTCTGCGGCGCGTTTGGCGTCTGCGACGAGAAGAGTGAGCCATTCTGTAGCTGCCCCACTGGCTTCCGCCCTCCTCCATGGAGGACTGGGAGCTAGGAGATCACTCACGGCTGCCGCCGAAACCATCCCTTGCAGTGTGACAGTGGCAAGGACGGTGACGCCTTCTTGCTGGTGCCAGGTATTTCTCTGCCGGGAAACCCGTCGCCGCCGGTTGAAGCATCAAGCGCTCAAGACTGCAGGTTGGCGTGCTTGAGGAGTTGCGACTGCAACGCTTACTCCTACGGCAGACGATGTGCTCTGTGGTACGGTGACCTGCTCAACTTGCAGCGACGGGTCGACGACACTGCAGGAATGGATGATCTTCACCTCCGGTTGTCTGCCATGGACGTGTCCTCAAAAGATCGTAACAGAACGGCAATCTTCGTTTCTACTGCCTCAGTTGCGTCGATCCTAGTCTTGTGTGCCATTGTGTCCGTGTTTGTTAAGATGTTTAGGAGAAGACAGAGTAGCATAAGATTCATGCAAGCAGCAGCAGAAGGTGGTAGCCTCGTGGCGTTCAAGTACAGCGAGCTGAGGAGGGCGACCAAGAACTTCTCGGAGAAGCTCGGAGGCGGCGGCTTCGGGTCGGTGTACAGGGGAAATCTACCCGGCGGCGGGCCGGCCGTCGCGGTGAAGAGGCTGGAGGGCCTCCTCTGCGTGGGGGAGAAGCAGTTCAGGAACGAGGTGCGCACCATCGGCAGGATCCAGCACGTCAACCTCGTCCGCCTCCGCGGTTTCTCCTCCCACGACAGCGAGCGGCTACTCGTCTACGACTACATGCCCAACGGTTCGCTGGACAGGGCACTTTTTGGGGGTGCTGTGGCGCCACCGACGCTGAGCTAGAGCGCTAGGTTCCAGATCGCGCTCGGCGCCGCCTGGGGCTTGCTGTACCTCCACGAGGGTTGCCGGGACTGCATCATCCACTGCGACATGAAGCCGGAGAACATCCTGCTCGACGAGGACCTCGTCCCCAAGGTCACCGACTTTGGCATGGCGAAACTGGTGGGGAGGGACTTCAGCCGCGTCCTGACGACGGTGCGGGGCACCATCGGGTACCTCGCGCCGGAGTGGATCTCCGGTGTGCCCATCACCGCCAAGGCCGACGTGTACAGCTACGGGATGGTGCTGCTGGAGATCATATCGGGAAGGCGGAACGCGCGGTGCTGGGTGACAACGGAGCACGGTGCGTCGCTGTCAGAGTACTTCCCGCTGGTGGCCGCGAGGAATGTCAGCGAAGGGGCGGCGCTTGTCGCGCTGCTGGACGAGCGGCTGCAGGGAGACGCCGACCCGCGGGAGCTGGAACGCGCGTGCAGGGTGGCCTGCTGGTGTGTGCAGGACGACGAGGCGCACCGGCCGACGATGGAACAGGTGGTCCAGGCGCTGGAAGGTGTCGTGGCCGTGAACGTGCCGCCGATTCCGACGTCGCTCCAAGCCTTCGCAGATTGATAGGAGACTAGTACAAACTGCGCGCCATCGCGCGCGCCGACGAGTAAGGACACCTAAATATACATTGAAGTTTTGTATGTCACATACGGTGCGCGTCATTGAGCGCGTGGGCGAGCAAAGTGTGGGCAGTACAGCTTGAGATTATGTAAGAACGATACGTAGATATATTCATAGATATACGTTTTTTGGTACATATACAGTACAATTGCTGTTTGAAGGATACTACAGGACGACGTAGGCAGTTGCATGACCAAGAACAAAATTAGGTAGTGTTTAACTATACTGGACGTAATTAGACAATACATAAACACCAAACCTACTAAATTAAAACAGTCTTCTTGTTTGTTGTCATTGCGTGGTCTGGGCAGCGTTCAGAGCACAGCAACTGTAAACCTTTCCATCTTGCAAAATCATGAGCCGGCTATCCTATTCTGCATCCGTAAGATCTGAGTAAGAAGTCAGGTGCTTGACGATTCCAAAATGTAGGTATAAAAGCTATTTGTAGATCATGAAGTAAGGCATGGCAAGCAGCGTGAGCTGTTTTGCTGAGTAGTGTCTGATCAAGGTCAAATTCCGGTGGAGGTATCCACAGATGGAACGAAAAGAAGACTGTCAGTGTTTAATTATTTGTTGCAGATGACCTAAATGTAGAAGTGCTAACAGACAGATACACACAAATAGAGGAGACTAAATCGACGTACCGAGACATGAACAGGCCTGATGGTATCGGTGGTAGGCTGGTGCACCTGCTGAGCTGGTAGTAAGTAACTTAATGGTGTGAGAGAGACGTGAAAAGGCAGCGCTGACTGAAATAGGGAATTAAGAAAGCGAAACCAAACTGTTTGAAGCAAAATAGCAGATCTTATTATCCAAAGGAAAAAGCTGACAGAGATGAAGAAATACAAACACGACAGCTCCCTGCACTTGGGTTAATCTAATAGGAACAATGCAGGAAGCACATATGGGAAAATATAAAGCCATGTAGGTGTGTAAGCCAAAAAGAATGGATCATGTGGAAGCTTTTTTGAAGAAGAGATAATTAAGCATATGGCAGGCCACATTGGCTCACGACAGGTTGCAGCAATTTAATGCAGGATGTTGGAACAAAGATCATGATATTAGAAACCAAAAGCAGCACATTAAAATGTGAAAAAAGCAAGAACGAGAAAACAGGCAAGTGTGATGCTAACTCAATCGCAATAGAGGCAGAGGTGTGTACTGGTAGATTAAGCCATAGGATAAACAAATAACTTGGATGTTGAAAAATAAAAAAAAATACCCATGAAGGAAAACAGGAAAAGAACTAAAATTAGATGGAAATGAAAAGGGAATGAGAGAGGGGGTGGATCAGCCTGTCTGACATATTTTGGTAAGGCAATAACTGTAATAAGTACATAGGTAAACACACGCTGTTATCGTGTACCTTGGACCAACCATAGTGTCGGTGTTTCGAACAAACACCAGCTAGTAAATTTATACTTGATGCGCGTTAGGCCCAGATGGTGCACTAATGGACACAAGGTTTATACTAGTTCGGGCTGAATGTCCCTACGTCCAATCTGTTGCTGCTCGTGTTATTAGCACTGAATGGGGTTCGTAGTAGGGGGTACAAACGGTTGGGAGAGGGAGAGATCCCAAGTCCCTGATGGAGTAGTGGAAAGAACGCCAAGAGCTCTGTTGCTGCTAGGTTGTATGGTGCGTGTGCGTGTGCTAGCTCGTCCAGCGTTGATCACCTTAGTGGGGAGCCCCGCCCTCCCTTTTATAGACAAGGGGGAGGGGGGGCGCAGGCGTTTACATATGGGGGAAAAGAAAAAATACTAAGAGCGCAGAAGGTCCTTTGAGAGACCCGAGTCTTCTTTCTTCCCCACGCCTGCCCTGCCTATCATGGCAGACTGTGTCAGAAGTAGCGTATCTGTCGATCTTCGTAGGCCATGCCCTGGCCTTTTTTAGCAAGTGGGGCGTCCCATCCCGCCCCCGCGGGCGGCGGGTCGGATAGGACCGTCGAGCCCCGACCCCGTGGGGGTCGGACGGCGTGGTGACTGTTGGTTGGCCCTTGGGACGTCGTGGTTGTCGTATGTCCGTGTCGGGTCCTTCGTCCGGAGGCTAAGGGCGGCGCCTATGATACTGTAGGGCGGAGAGCAGGCGCCCGCAACACTGTTCAGGCTCTGCCACGCCTGGGGGGAGGTCCCAGCGCTTGTCCTATCATATCCTGATGGTACTTCCTTGCAGGGGTGCAGGGCATGGCGTCTGATGCTGTGGTTGACCCGAACGTCTTGTCTTACCCTGTAGCCATCATCATGAGGGTTCGCAGGGCACGGTTTGTCAGGTGAGACAGAGCCAGCCTCCGAATATCGGGTGAGGCGAGATCCGTCATCGGTCGTTGGATAAGGTAAAGCCGGCCCTCGGGCGTTGGGCGAGGCCGAGCCCAGCCCTCGGGGGTCGGGCGAGGCGGAGTGTATCCCTTGGGGGTCGGGTGAGTCGTCCTCTAGCCGTCGGGCGAGGCGGAGTCGTCCTCCAGCCGTCGAGCAAGGTGGAGCGGGTCCACGGGCGTTTGGGCGAGGCGGAACAAAACTCCCATCGTTCGAGCAAGAAGTGCAGCCGTGCTCTTGGTCCGTTCGGGATCTTTTAACGTTCGATGGTTATTAGTTCCACCTCCTTAGGTACCCCGGTATTAGGTCCCCGACAGTAGTCCCCGAGCCCTCGGGCGATTCGGGTAGAATCGCCCAGGTTTTTTTTTTTTTTTTGATCTCGTCGGAGTTAACTTTCCAGAGGGTGCGCGCGAGCGCACCCGGTGGGTGTAGTCCCCGAGCCCTTGGGTGATTCGAGTAGAATCGCCCGGGGGGTTTTTTCTTTTCGATCTCGTCGGAGTTAACTTTCCAGAGGGTGCGCGCGAGCGCACTCGGTGGGTATAGTCCCCGAGCCCTCGGGTGATTAGTATTGGGCCCTCCGCGGGTAAGACCGTAAGATTTAGGTTTCTTGTCAGCTGGATATTTTTCCGTGGGGTCGTGGTATCCCGGTCGCGGGATCTCATTCAGCTGACTGACCGATCGGGCTTGATCGCGGATCCGCACCCCAATAATGCTTGCGCCTCTTGATTTCGGATCGCTCATGGACCCGTCCTCGGTTGGGTCGGCCGCCGAGCTTCTAGGCCCTAGGTGGGACAAAGAGAAAAAATCTTTGTGACCAAGGTCCCTAGGTGGGAAGAGAGTCCAGATTCGCTGGGGCTCGACCATCTTTGGAGGCTCTGGACCAAGCCGAGGAGCCTCACAGAGATCGTTGTTCCTACTACCCGTATTATTCGCCGGTTTTCTTCTTTCTTCGCATGTTTTGTGTTTTTCGTATTTCGATACCGGTCTTCTTCTTCTTCTTGATTCTCGTTGCTCGTAGTCGGAATAAATCCCGATTCCTCCGCGAAAGCGTATATGGAGGGGGATCGCCTTTCCGAGGAGGCCCGGCTACGAGCAAATATGGCCACAGCTTGACTTCTTTGCCGCCGCCAGAGCGGAGGCCGAGGCGCGCCAGGACGCGGAGGAGATCCATGGGATGTTCGCGGACCTGTCGGCGAAGGTGAAGCTGGAAGAGGAAGAGGCTGCCAGGATTCTGAAGGAGCGGGATGAGCTGCTCGAGAAGGATGCCTAGGCCGATGCGGGCTGTTGAGGTCCCGGCGAGCTAGAGACGGAGCGGGATCTCAGGCGGAAGGCCGAGAGTAGGGCCACGACCCTTCAGCAGAAGGCGGACGAGGACGTCGAGGTGGTCCGCTCCCTCCGGGCGGATCTTAGTGATGCGGTGAGCCAAGGTTGAGCGCCAAGAACGCTCTCTCAAGGCCGGAAAAAGGAGCTCGCCCATGTGCGAAGGACCCTTCAGATTGAGAGCGCGACGAGCACGACTTTCTCGCAAGCTGCGGTCGGGTGGTCCTTGATGCCTCGAAGGTGGTGGAGCTGGTGGAGACCAGCCGCTTTGCGGCTCGTGCCGCAGCAGTATCACGCAGCTGGTGGGCCAACTTGAGGAAGACGCCTTTCGCGCCGGGATCACCCAAGCCTTTGCTATCGCCCATTCTCATTATGATCGGGAGATCAACTTGAAGGTGATGAGCCAAGGCTTCGCGCCTGTGTATGAAGACCCTGAGCTGGACGAGATGAAGAAGGCGGTGGCACCTCTTGCGCGGGACCTGGCGGATAGATTGAAAGAAGCGGTTCTCCCTTCGCGGAAGTAGTTTAGATGGAGAAACTTGATGAACCCTTTTATGTAATACGTGAACAAGTGTCGGTGCTTTTGCGTGCTGAAAACAGTTTCGTGGATTTGTCTGGTGGTTTTTCGTTTCGTTTGTTTCTTCCATTTTTGCGATGAAAAGAAGTTTGCAAGGTCCGACCCTTCCCCTTGTTAAGACCGTATGGCCTGAGGTGCTTTTTAGAGGAACAAACATACCGTCGTTACCTGGCCGTGGGCTTTCTGTGGTACTGTCGATCTGTGGCAGGGGAATTCGGGCGACGTGGACCCTTATTTTCGATGGCCAAACTGCCACTATCTCTGCACACAATCAAGAACCCATTTGTAAGATACATGGCAGCTTGGCCATAGAAAATAAGAGCACAGGAAAAAGGCATCTGAACTACGAACAGCTGCTTTGGGCGCCATATATTATTTTGCTAAGTATCTATTAACTGCAGAGATATGGCAAGAAAGTTAGGCTATCTTCCACATTCAGAAGCTCGAAATTATTTGATTCTTCTAATATCTGCTTCATCTTGCTATGTCGAGGCACCAAACATACATAAAACAGGGTATGGGCCCGATATTGTAGATCCTAAGACAGGTATGATTTCTATTTTCTTTTACCTATCTGTCTTACTTGCTGCAGGTAGCTGCATTTTTCTTAGCAGGCTGGCAACAAAACTACCTGCAGCATGTTACGAACTACAAAAGAGGTGGTCATTAATATGTCTACATCAACAAATGAAATTTCCCTCACAGTCCATGATAACTCCAAAATATTTTTGTTT